CCACAATGAAAGAATTCATATAAACATATAGGTTTTAATAAATGTTTTGATATAGCTTTTGAATATATGTGACATATATAAAACTGGCTGTTAACTATATTATAGATACATATATGTACCTACAATATAATATATATTATAGAAAAAATATATAATATAGAAAAACGGTCAATAATATACACATTCGGCCATATTCTGATCCAGGTTTTTAGTGTGGTCATGACTCCCATCCTTCACCCTCCTCCACTTCCTCATTATACCTTCATTCAGCTCACCTGGTTCCTCTCACCAAGCTCCAGCCAAGCCCTGCTTTCCCCAGCAACCTGTCAGCTTCAATCAGCTCCATTCATTCCACCTGCTCCTGTAATCAGCCTCATCCCATTCACCAATCGCCAGATTATTACAGCTCTGCCAGTAGTTCTCCAGCCATCCACCCTGCCTGATCTCTCCCTCTGGACCTTGTTTTTTGCCTGACCCCTGCCTTGCTCGCTGCCTGCCATTTGGACCTTGCCTGTCTCTGACCCTGCTTCAGCCTTGCCCTCCAGGTACCTCTGCCTTCAATAAAGACTTTTTATATATTTTTACTGTGTTGGCGTCTTCACGGGTCTTCTGAACTCGGTTCCTGACAGAATAATCTGGCCAAAAATCTGACCCAACGCTGACACAGCACTTGGAGTATTTTTTTTCTTTTTTTTCATCGTACCTGTCATGGAGGATCTCACGCTCCTGGAGTTTATGGAGCTAGAGAAGGAGCAGGAGTCACCGTTCTGGGGAACGCGGCTGGCCATCAGGCCAGAGCCACGCAGAGGCTCCACTCCTCTGTCCAGGCCTGCTGCAAACGTCTTGTGCAGCGGGTTCATGACCACGCCGCTCCAGCCTCAAACCCCTCCTGTCAGGTCACGACGGCGGCGGTCCCGGAGGTTTTCTGGAGCTGATAAGAGGGTTAATCCTTCTCCCGTGCTGGTGTCGGCGGGTTCCACGGACGGCACCTCATGTTCTGCTTCTGGACCGGTCCCGACGGAGGAGATTGTTCAGGGGATGATGCAGATGGTCGAGGAGGCTGTGTGGGAGGTCTTTGCCAAGCCAACCTGCCCCCACTTACGTCTGCGGGCGGCTGATAGGTTAAATGTCATCTTCTCCACCCATCCAGAGTTGATAGCGGTCCCAGCACTTGGTAATTACTACCTTTATGTCCGGAGGGTATATGGGTCTGCACTGAAGGATGTCGCCATGGAGGGTCTGACCTGCTGTGAGAGGTGGTCACCTTCCCCAGAACCCTCCAACGTGTCGCATCCTGCTCCGGCGGTGGTCCCGGTGGACGCATCGCATCCTGCTCCGGCGGTGGTCCCGGTGGACGCATCGCATCCTGCTCCGACGGTGGTCCCGGTGGACGCATCGCACCCTGCTCCGGCGGTGGTCCCGGTGGACGCATCGCACCCTGCTCCGACGGTGGTCCCGGTGGACGCATCGCACCCTGATCCGGCGGTGGTCCCGGTGGACGCATCGCACCCTGCTCCGGCGGTGGTCCGGGAGGACGCATCGCACCCTGCTCCGGCGGTGGTCCGGGAGGACGCATCGCACCCTGCTCCGGCGGTGGTCCCGGAGGACGCATTGCACCCTGCTCTGGCGGTGGTCCCGGAGGACGCATTGCACCCTGCTCTGGCGGTGGTCCCGGAGGACGCATCGCACCCTGCCCTGGCGGTGATCTCGGAGGACGCATCGCACCCTGCCCTGGCGGTGGTCTCGGAGGACGCATCGCACCCTGCCCTGGCGGTGGTCCGGGAGGACGCATCGCATCTTGCTTCGACGGATGAGGTCCAAGAGGCCCCGGCCCAGCCTGTCCAAGAGGCCCCGGCCCAGCCTGTCCAAGGGGCTCCGGTGAAACCTTTCCACGAGCCTCCAGTCCAAGGGTCGACACCTCCAGGCTCTGAAGAGGACCTCTCCTGCCCCTGCTCTGAAGAGGACCTCTCCTGCCCCTGCTCTGAAGAGGACCTCTCCTGCCCCTGCTCTGAAGAGGACCTCTCCTGCCCCTGCTCTGAAGAGGACCTCTCCTGCCCTCGCTCTGAAGAGGACCTCTCCTGCCCTCAAGTTCCCCAGTCTCAAGTCCCAGAGTCTGTGTCCCCTCAAGTCCCAGAGTCTGTGTCCCCTCGTAGTCTTAGTCTTGGTCCAGTGTCCTCTGTCACCACACTCCCACGGTCCCGGCTCCTGGTTCCCCGTCGCCGGCCCCCCAGACTCCCACGGTCCCGGCTCCTGGTTCCCCGTCGCCGGCCCCCCAGACTCCCACGGTCCCGGCTCCTGGTTCCCCGTCGCCGACCCCCCAGACTCCCACTGTCTCGGCTCCTGGTTCCCCGTCGCCGGCCCCCCAGACCCTTCCGGCCCTCCTTCCTGGTCCCCCTCCTCCCGCCCTGCTCTGGCCCTCCTTCCTGGTCCCCCTCCTCCCACCCTGCTCTGGTTTCCTGTGGGCGTCTGGTATCCGCCCTTGAGGGGGGGGTTCTGTCATGACTCCCATCCTTCACCCTCCTCCACTTCCTCATTATACCTTCATTCAGCTCACCTGGTTCCTCTCACCAAGCTCCAGCCAAGTCCTGCTTTCCCCAGCAACCTGTCAGCTTCAATCAGCTCCATTCATCCCACCTGCTCCTGTAATCAGCCTCATCCCATTCACCTGCTTCCCCTGCTATAAAAGAACCAGCCATCCAGTCAACAGATGCCAGATTATTACAGCTCTGCCAGTAGTTCTCCAGCCATCCACCCTGCCTGATCTCTCCCTCTGGACCTTGTTTTTTGCCTGACCCCTGCCTTGCTCGCTGCCTGCCATTTGGACCTTGCCTGTCTCTGACCCTGCTTCAGCCTTGCCCTCCAGGTACCTCTGCCTTCAATAAAGACGTTTTATATATTTTTACTGTGTTGGCGTCTTCACGGGTCTTCTGAACTCGGTTCCTGACATGGAGTGATTTTTGTGCCACCAACTGGAGCTTGCAGTGATCAATCTGCAAGAGCACAACCTGCTCTGCAGTCATATGCAGCCCTCTCTCTGCATGCTCAACTCCGTCTCTGCCTGCACAGATCTCACCCTGTTGTTGCTCAATTTGCAATTTATAAAGCAATGTAGCCTCTCCGTCAGCCAATCAGACAGCTCTCCATTATGCAATCAAAGCATGTTCAGGAAATACTGCCAGGAAAATTGCACTTTTTTCAGATAAAGAGGACTTTATATAATATTTAATTAGGTTGATTAACCCTCCTCTTTTCCTGGGACATTTCCACTGTTCACTTCCTTTTACACATCAAGGGATCATTTATGTCTAACCAAAAAGAGAATAAACACTTTATATGTTGAAATTAAAAGTCCTCTTTAACTGAAAAGAGTGCAATTTAACAGTTTTAGGAATGGGCAATGTGTCTTTTCTGGAAGTCAAATATGGTCATCCTAATCATGACACATGAATTACAACAAAGTATTTTGCAGGCAGTGGATGGTGACTGGTAGCTAACCAGCAGCAGAAAGCAGTTTAATAAGCTGTTAAATGGGTGTTTTTCTGTAAAGCAGTATTTCCTGGACATGCTTTGATTGGATAAAACAGAGCTGTCTGTGATTGACTGTTGGAGAGGCTACTTGTTGAGTAGAGCAGGGAGAGATTTACATGCGCAGAGACAGAGTTGAGCCCACAGAGAGGGCTGCAGCTCCTGCACACAAGCGCAGAGCAGGTTCTGTTTGTGCAGACTCATTACTGTACGCTCAAGTTGGTGGCACTAAGTCACTCAATGAACTGGCTGGCTCGTTAATCATGTCATTTCAGGGGAGTTTTCCGACCATTTTACTTGACATCAAAGCTTTTCATTATGGTTTGCGGCATGTAAACATGCTAGCGGAGTTAGCATTAGCATGTCGGTGCGGTAGCATTTTTCTCTCTCTGAAGTCTGAACTATAACCTTGGATTGTTAACAGTGTGCTGCTGTTGCTGTCTTACCCTAATGTGATGTTGAGTGACTCACATGAGCGCTGAGCAGGGTTTGCTCATCGATATATGTTTTGCTGTATCGCCCCTGCCCCTGAATTGTCAGCATAGCTGTCAGGGTTAAGGAAGTGGAGGAAGTCCTTTCTTGATAGTTCCTGTGTGTGACAGTGTAGTTCTATATTCATTAATTATTATTTCTGCTTCAGACTAAAAAAAACTCCTGTACCAACTACACGTGTCGTGATTGTGTTGAGCATGTAGATGTGAACAAATAAAAAAAAGTTAACTGAAAAAAATAAAATAAAATAAAATAAAACCAAAATGATAGGGGGGCTTGTGATTATTTTAGGGGGGCTGAAGCCTTCCTAAAATGGACCTAACGACATCAGCGCTTTTTTTAAATTATTTGTGTGATTTTAAGTACTTTTAGCCATTACTTCACCACAAGACCCCTTCTTGCAAGTTGGTGTCAGAAGGCCTGTACTGACTGGTTGTTACGTCCCCTCTGGCGTCTAGGAGTGGCGAGGGGAGAACACAGAGAAAAATAAAATAATGTAAAATAAAAGGGAATGACTACAAAGGAATAGTGTCTGGTTATAATGGTGATGAATGAATGGAAGGAGGTTAACAAATAGCAGTTCAAAAGGTTTAACAAAATGTTGGATGAAGGGTATTATAATAATTAACCTAATGACATCAGCGATTTTGGGACATTTTGACTAAATCACTCTGAACTTTCAGTGTCATTTTATCTCGTTTATCTCCACTGGCAGGAAGACAGCAAACAAAAGATCTCGTAATAAAGCTGATGTTGTTAATATCTGGACTGAGAGCTCATGTGTGGAACATGTCTGGGTCATAAATAATGAAATCAGAATCAACAACAACAAAAACAACAACAACAACAACAACAACAACAACACACACACACACACACACACACACACACACTGGTTTATATGGCATAAACATATTTTGTGTTGTACAATCATTAAGTCGACATGAAGCATACGTGACTTTTCTGAACTTAAACAATGTAAATGTAAAACAAGTCTAAAATAATAAAGGCCATGACCATAATAAACTGATTATGACATAAAATGAAAAACCAAGCCACAACTCAGAAATTGTCACCGCATGCTTCAGATTTTAATTTGCATTATTTCAATGTAAACTTTTTCAAATAAGAAAAAAAAAAAGAATGGAAAGAATTGGATGAATTGGCAGAAGTAACTCTACAGACACAAGGACCCAGCATCCTAGCTGCTCCAGTTGCAGTTTATAAGCCAGGGGATTCCTAAACAGGACACAGGGGCAGATTTCTGGCTGAGACAAATCATCATGGAGACACTCAGGTCTAGAAAAGCTGCCTTGATTTTGTTGTTTTTTGCTTTTGTTCAATCCAACGCAATAATGCCAAAACCTGGTGAGTGAGCTTGTTTTTCCCCACGTGTGTTATGTTCATGTATGATAACCCGACACTGATAAATCTTAACTTGACTCTCTTCTGAATCCAGGTAACTGTCCGAGCACTTTTGATTTGTTTATGGCATCGCCACAATGTAATTATGACAGAGACTGCCCAGGAGATCAGAAATGTTGCAGGTTTTTCTTCAGATCTGTTTGCACCCCTCCAGTTCCAAGTAAGAACCTTTTTTTAAAATCTTTTATATCCACTCAGTGAATGAAATAGTAGAAGATATCTCCCGACAGCTTTACGAGGAAAAACATTATTTTCCAAGATGATATTTCCATTTATTAAAGTCTTCGCATTAATTATTCTTTCTTTCCTCTCAGCATTACCAGGCTGTCCAATGCCTCCAGGCTCCACCGAGTCCAAGGGGTATAGGGGATTGTCTTGAGCTGTGTTCAAGAGACTCGGATTGTCCTGGTGACGATCAGATATGCTGCTTTAATGGATGTGGACACGTGTGCATGACTCAGACAATAGGTGAAATATGACCAAAGGAGTTAAATTCCTAATATACTGCGACACTGCTGCTAAATATAAAGAGGCTGAATGTTTCTGTTTTGTTGTTCCTCAGTGAAGCCAGGAAAATGTCCTGACGACTTCTTCGTCCATCGTTGTCGCTCATACTGTGGAAATGATGGTGATTGCCGTGGTGAGATGAAGTGTTGCTATTCAATGTGTGGCAGTGAATGCAAATACCCCGTGTTTTGAACCCCGATAGGCCACCGCTAGGTGTGCAATTCTTATACATATCTTTAAATACAAATTTGTTGATTTTTTTTTGTTTGCTGTTATTGAGGAAGCACAATATTATCATTATACTATCATAATATTGAGGAAGCACAAATAAAATACAATCTGCAACACAGCGAACAATTGTCTTCATTTTTGTTGTTTTTAAACAGCCACTTGAACTCGTAACACTGGGGGGGACAGGTTCACATATGTTCCCGACAGCAGCACGTTTAATTTAAAAGGTTCAAACAAAGTCTGATCTTACTGGCTTGATATATTGTATCCACTTGGATCAAATGGTGTAGAATGAGTCAATTTGTAGTTTCAGTTGAGAGGTTATTTTTTCCATTTTGTAAATGTTCGGCCTGATATTGATCCAGTCCTCCATTGTTGGATGATTGGGCTTGAGCCACTTTTTAGTGATGGCCTTCTTGCTTGCAGCTAATAGACTATAGAGAAGTTTCCAGTCTTTATTATTGAGGTTGTCCGATTCTATATTCCCCAAAAACAGTGTTTCAAATGAGAGGGTGAAGACCACTGAAAATACATTTTGAATATGTTGGTGAATTTCTATCCAGTAACTTTGGATCCTATGACAGCTCCAAAAAAATGAAAATGATTTGCTCTCTCACTACTGCATCTCCATCATGTCTCTCCCTTTCCCCGGTAACTTTGCTGTTTTGGTGTAATAAAGTAACGCATTGTATTTTTCCAATAGAATTCACGCCAGATATTTGACCTTGTTGAGGCCCATGAAATTTTACAAATATGATCCAAGTTCTCCTCGGTAACATTAAACCCTCCTTCCTTTTCCCATTTTTCTTTCACGTAGTACGTGTTGCCCCCTTTACTTTGCAGAAGGCCCTCATATAGTTTGGAAATAATTTAGGGCGGACTGTTTTCGTTAGTGAGATAAAGGTTTGTAAAAAAAACCTTGGTTAGTTGATGGAATTGTAATCTTCTGATTGAAATAATGCCTGATTTGTAGATAGTGGAAGAAGTCATCAGACCCCAGCCCGTTTTTGCCTCAGTGTCTCAAATGATTGGAATGCCTCCTTGTGGATGAATGAATTATAGCTGGTTAACCCTTTGGAGATCCACATCCTGAATCTGTTATCATGTTTGTTAGGTGTAAAATCTGAGGCAAAAGCCGGCCACCGCAAACTTTTAGAATCTTCCTCCAAGCTACACCTTTGAACTGTTTCTTTCCAGACTGATATTGCTGTTTGTGTAGTGTGCTCGTGCGGGAGCTTAAATTTGGATTGTAGTTTGGGATCTGCTGATAGAGCTTTAAACAGTACCTCTGTTATTAATGTCTCCTCTATATCTTTCCATCCTGATGTATAGGTTGGAGAGAACATGCACATGAGGGGTCTCAACTGGGCAGCGTGATAGTACTCCCGTAAACAAGGGAGGTTCATACCACCCTTTTCCTTTTTTATTTGTAAAGTTTTAATTTTCACCCTGGGTTTTTGTATTTCCAAATAAACCTTGATAATATTTTATCACATTCTGTAAATTGGTTTGAGGGTATAGGAAAAGGTAAACACTGAAAAAAGTACAAAATTTGGGGAAGGATGCTCATTTTAACACAGTCAATGCAAGAATATACTGCAGGCCTAGAAAGGGGATGATGTTCCATCTTTGCATATCCGATTTTATACTTGCTGTCAAGGGCCTATGGTTAATATCAAACGTTTGTGTATTGAAATTCCCAAATATTTCAAGGTTTAAGGTTGTCTTCATTAATCCCCACAAGGGGGAAATTGAATTGCCCTGTACAAGTAAAAAACAACAACAACAACATGCACACACACACACAACAAAATATTCACTGGACACAGCTATAAGTCACAACCATGATAGAAATATCAAATATACAATCATACAAAATGCTCGTTGTAAAAACACACTGCAGCAGGAATAAAAGAGTTCCTAAAACATTCAGTGGAACAACGTGGCATTAACATTCGCCCACTAAAAGAGCTCCGGAGATCCTTAAATATCTGGTGAAGGGGGTGACCCTGCAGAGAAATAACTGTCTTAAGTTAACACTTCATCCTTTTGTCGATGATCATGTCAAATGAGTCCAAGCTTTGCCCAACCAATGAGCCAGATTTCTTGATCATTTTGTTGATCCAGTTTTTGTCCTCAGCACTGAGGCTCCTGCCCCAACACAACACAGCATAAAACAACACACTGGCCATAATCCCCTGATAAAACACATTCAAGAGCCTCCTAATTATATCAAAGGATCTTAGCTTCCTAAGACAAAACAATCTGGACTGGGCTTTTTTAACAACAGCATAGCCATTCTTTTTCCAGTTTAACTTATGGTCGAGGTAAACCCCGAGATATTTTTATGTCTCCACAGTTTCAACAGGTTGGCCTTTGATGACCACGGGAGAGAATGTTTGTTTTTTCTTTCTAAAATCAATAACTAGCTCTTGTGTTTTGCCAACAATGAGTTGTAGAAAATTTACATCACACCATCTAACAAAGGAGTTAACTTCCTCCCTGTAAGCCAGGCCGTCACCCCGAGAGATCAGGCCCAGTAGGGCAGTGTCATCAGAGAACTTCTGTAAGGGACACGATGGTAAACTGTGCCTATAGTCAGCTGTATACAGTGTAAATAAAAAGGAGATAAAACTGTCCCTTGTGGTGCACCAGAGTTTGTAAAAATCAAGTCCGAGCACTTACCCCCAACCCTCACAAACTGAGGCCGGTTTGAGAGATAGTCTATAATCCAGGCAGTGGTGGAATTGTGCAGCTTAAAATCCAATAACTTATTTTGTAAAATATGGGGCTGAATGGTATTTAAAGTACTAGAAAAATTAAAGAACATAAGTCGCACTGAACTGCTGGCTTTTTCAAGGTGTTTATAAATAATGTCCAGCAGATACAGAAGGGCATCATCCACACTCACACCCATCCTATGTGCAAACTGAAGGGGGTCTTGGAATGAAACAACCTGTTCTCTTAGGCATTTAAGGACGACTCTCTTAAAACATTTCATTAAGTGTGATGTCAACGCAATAGGCCTAAGATTGGACAACGTACAGCTGATGCCTGTTTTCTTAGGGATAGGCACAAGACAAGAAGTTTTCCACATTACAGGTATTTTAGCAGCAGACAAGGACAACATGAAAATGTAGTAAAAGACAGCTGCAAGCTAGGGCTGTCGCGGTTGAGGAATTCCCCCTGCGGTGATTCAGGGTGGCTTAATATTGCGGTGTGCGATATTATTGCAGCCCTTTTTTTATTGCAGTACTATCTAAACATAATGCTTCCACATTTAAAAAAGGTTAAAAATTGCCGTGCCTTCTTTTATAACACTTTACTGAATGCAGATCAAAGGGCAGTAACAACACAGATCGCAGTAACGTTTGTTTCTCCGACAGTCGGAGTCCGACTGAACTTAAAAACAACAAAATTCAGGAGAAGGTTAAACTTTTAAATGCAAATTTGGCTGCAGCATCTGACAAATAAGAAACAAATCCCCATTTTGTTTAGTTGTTTAAAATCAAGCATAAAAAATTACATGTACCGGGCGCACGCGCGCCGGGGGGGGGGGGAGCGGGCGCACTATCATTTCACTTTCACACACACGAATGACGGTGATATATAGCTCGGTCACGTCCTTGTTACCCACAAGGAAAACCAGGATGATAACCATATACGGTTTGAGAGAGGATCTGAGAGGGGGTGGCAACATTTCCAGCAACACTGAAAACCCTCTCGGATGGCGCGCTCGTTGCACTAACGCACACGTACTTGCGTGCGACTCTGGCGAGCAAAGGGAATCTCTCCCGGGTTGTTGCTCCACCATGTCAGGGGGGTTTCTTTAGGGTGGATGCATTCCTCCTGCAGGTAGCGAGTGAGCTCCAGCTCGGCTCAAACTCTCTTCGGGACGGTTGCAGAAGCAGTGCTTGTCCGGGACTTCAGTAGGTCTCCGAGCGTTTTTTTTTTTTTTTTTTTGCAGCTGGTGGCAGCTCTGTCTCGGCCAAGGACCCTGGCTGCGCAGCAGCTGACGTACTGAAAACCAAAGTGCTCCCAAAGGAGCGAAGTAACGTTTCGTTTTGATACCAGTGCAGCCATCCTTCTCAACATGCATCATTGAGTTGAACCAAGTTCAGTAATCGCGGTGGCCCATGATGCAGCGCGGTGGGCTTCTTCATATTGCGATATTTCATTTTTGCGGTTACCGCGACAGCCCTACTGCAAGCTGCTCTGCGCAAACTTTAAGGGTGCACGGATGGACACCATCAGGGCCTGCTGCCTTAGGCTAAAGCCTAACAAGGCTGACTAAACTGCTGCTGGGCATCTTCAACATTAAAGCTAATCTCTGGGCATGCATTCTCAACCTGATCAGAGGCAAGTGCCGATTTGAGTTTGTTGTGTTCATGTGTAAAATCATGCACATAAAATCTGGCAAAAAAACTGGTTAATCTCATTCACATCCATTCCAGTGCTGTGTAAACCTGTCTTACCCCCATAACCAGTCATGGTTTTCATCCTGTCCCAAAGACACTTAGAATTAGAACCATCAATAGAGGTTTCAATCTTATCTTTATATTACTGTTTACTTCATCATATCAGTGTTTTAAGCTCCCTTTGTGCCACCTTTATTTGCATTGGGTCCCCACTATGAAAAGCAAGTTTCTTCCTGTTAATTGCTGCCTAATCTCTCTGGTCACTCATGGTTTATTATTAGCAAAAACCTTAAATTGTTTACATGGCAGCACCAAATCAGTACAGAAGTTAACATAGCAAGTCACTTTGTCAGCAATGTCATCACAGTCACATCCTTCAGTAAAAACAGACCATTTTATAGATTCTGCTTGCCATTTCCACTTTTATTTATCTCTAATCATTTGGGGTGAGCTATAGTTTACGGATAATACTTGAGTTTTATTGACATTAATTTTGTATCTCGAGATGGTCCCATAGTACTCATTCAGCTGTAT